GATGAAAAATGGGGCAAGTTCAAACACCACCAAACTTGCTGTTTTTATCAGTATGCAAATATTTTTCTTTAATAAACGCTTCCTGGATCGTTGCAAGCTTTTGGCTAATTTGCCACTGTTCTCATTGCTTTTATGCAAGATTGGATTTTCAGAGGCTCTTACTCTACTACTCCCCCTGATGTCTTCACCTGTGAATTCTGAAAAGGAATTTTGATTGTAGCAGTCTTCAAGTTGTGCCACCAAGTATCCCATGGACAGGGACTCATTTTCCTTTGTCTTTAGGGATGCTTTGGGGAAAACCTCTTTAAAGTATTACGGGAGAACATCAGCTTAAGGGGAAGGGGCAGCTACTAACAGCAAATGGGACCAGACTCTAAAAGAAGTCCTTTGAACCTGTCCACTCTCAGGATTCTAAGTAGCTGCCTGTGGGGTCCACACATGTCTGCTGATCTCTGCACCCAACCTGTGCAGTCCCCACTGGATCCAGTGGGTATGTGTCATGTCACATCAGAAACTTGTTTGGAGTGGGGTGTTTAAGCCAAGGTTTCTGGTGTGGAAGCTGCTATGCAAGGCAGGCCAGCTATACACAGGAAAGGAATTCAAAGCGCCCAGACTCAGCTGGATGGTTTGTCCACAAGTTACAAGTTTAATTACAGTTTACATAAGTGAAGCCCTTTCTAGCCATGTGACTAAGGGTCTGAAGTGAGACCAGTAGGTATTGATATGGTGGTGGTGGTTTAGTTGCTAAATTGTGTCTGAATCTTGCGACTCCATGGACTGTAGCCTGCCAGGCTCCTCTGTCCATGGGATTCTTCAGGTAAGAATACTGGAGTGGGTTGCCATTCTCTTCTCCAGGGGATCTTCCTGACTCAGGAATCGAGCCCAGGTCTCTTGCACTGCAGGCAGATTCTTTACCAACTGAGCTACAAAAGAAGACCCTAGGATATGCCTGCTGGTATTTATATGGCCTTAGTAAAGTCTTAAGAAGGACTTCTTGAACTTCTGGCTAACTGGAGAAGGATACTCTCTTTAAAGCACACAATCTGCAGCATGACTCAGATAATACATATGACATGTAAAACATGATGGACTAGATTTTGGCAGCTGAAATTGTTTCAGTGCATCAACCTGGAGCAGCTTATAGTTTCAAAGGACAAGTCTATTGGCTTACATACCAACTTTCTTAGGTCAACAAACAATGGCCATGTATGTGCTTATTTTTGCATAGCCCGTGAGCTAAGTTTTGTTTCTTTAATATTTTTTAAGAGTTAGGGAAAAAAAGAAGAATATGCAAGAGAGAACCAGTTGGGCTTGCAAAGCCTAGAATATTCACTACCTAGCCCTTTAGAGAAAAAGTCTGCCTGCCTCTAGGTTAACAGAATCACGGATTCCAGTAACCAGGCATATCGGACGACAGTCAACACCCACAGGAAGATGAGAGAACCAAAGGGGACAAAAACACTTGAATACAATTCCTTTAATGCTCCAGGCATTCAAACATTCATAGAATCGCCTTGTTTCAGAAGTCATTTCCTCTTAGGTACAGATTCTGTGTCCAGGAGCAGAGACAGCTTTCTCCATGGCACCCACTGGTGCTGGGGGGACCCACTCCGGCACTCTGTCTTCTCTGGTAGAGTCCCCACGACCCATGGCAAGGCTGGACGCACCCCCGCTTGACACAACCTCCACTTTAATGGAAACACCCTTTGTAGTGTTACCACTGCTTGTGGGTCCGTCCATTTCCAGCACAACCAGACGTCCCAAGTCTGGGGCCATCACCCTGAGGCGCTCGTGAAACACCACGTTAGCTGGTTAAGTCCACCAGCACCTGCTCCACTTTATCAGACAGACACTGAGGCACTTTCATGTCCTGGGGAAACGGAGTTCAGTCATCATAGGAATCCAGTGAGACAGAAGGAGCTTTCTTCTCAGTAATTCACTTGTAATCCTAACACATATTTAGCAGATTTATAAATTCATGTCTGGTTACATTTGACAACAAGGCTTCACAAAGTAGATGAAAGCAGATTTAAGTAGATGAAAGCACGGCTGAGTTTCCAAAGGCTATGACGGGGAGCAGAGAGAGAGAACTTGTTTGGATGGAATATGCTGTATATCACGCCAGCATCCGGTCATCCTTAAAGAAATGCCCGGCTTTCCAAAAGGAATTTTTAAAAAATCTCTAAACCTTATAGGATTCTTCCAAGGTAATAATGTTATCTGTCCTTCCTTCTCCAGCAGTGGTTCGAGGCATCTCAATGCATCTGACGCCTGAGGTTCAGACCTAACGGGCCAGGGGTCAGGGAGGAGGGAGGTGTGGACACCAACATTCTTTAAAGCTTCCCCAGTGACTCCAGCAAATTATCCGCATTGAGAACCTCGGTCCTCAGGGTTCTCCAGCCTTCCTAATCTCATGTGTCCTCACTGAATGCCCTTGAGGTAGTCCCTGGATCAGGCAACAAGATCTTCCACAAGATAAGAAACTAAGGCACAGAGGTTCATGGGTTTCTCTGATGCTGTGCAGTCAACGAGTCGAGACGGAAATCAACATCTCCAAAACAACACCACCACCTCCTTCCCTAGCAACTGGCGACACGAACACAGACTACACGGATGAAGACTGACTGGGGGACCATCTGTGCCAAGGATATCACTGAAGGGTATGGAAGAGTTCTGTGCCAGCTGTTCTCCCTGATCAGACATAAATGCACAAAACAGATACTTATTTGAAACCACGTGAGGAATGAAGCATAATTTCCTCTTTAAAGCCTTTCTTCCCTCACATATATTGCTATCAATTCTGTTTTCTTAGAAAACCCATCAAAATCCACAGACTTCCTAACACCTGGATTCTTAGTTCTGTCACTATAAGAGACACTGGAAAATTCTCAAATATCCCTGTAATTTAGGTCCAAAAGATCATTACAAATCTGCATTTGCTTGTGACAGGACTACAAAATCTTCCCTGCTTTTTTTTTTCCTCTTGTTTTTTGACTGCACTGAGCAGCATGCAGGCTCTTAGTTCCCCAACCAGGGATCGAACCTGTGCCCCTTCTAGTGCCAGTGTGGGGTCTTAACCACTGAACGGCCAGGGGTGTCTTGAAAACCTCCCTACTTTTCCCATCACCAGCCCACATAGACTTCCCAAGCCCCAGGACCCTACACTTTCTCCATGGCTGTGCACCTGCCCACAATCTACTTAGAATCTCCCTAAACACTAACTGCTCTGGGCCTCTAGGATTCCAGTAACACTTCTTTTATTTTGCTCTGGATGCAAACTTCATCATCTATATATTCTGGGTAATCACTGGCATGTTTATTTTTTAATTCCAAACTGCAGGGCGAGCCCAGCCGGCTGGGCCTTCCTCCACTTCACTGAGGCACAATACTTTCACATCCCACACCCACTGCTGCATTCATGAAATCATTTCCATCATGATTCCTTTTTTTACCATCAGCTCCCACATCTCATCATATTTGAGGTTGCTTTTTCTTTGCTCTGTAAAAAAGTCTCCCCTGGCTGCAGAACTCTTTTCTGATGACAAGTGGAGATGAATAAGGGAGGGTACATGTGCCAGAGAGAAGGACCGCACCAGCCGCTGCCGGTCCTGGGGTGGAGGGTGCATGCCTGTTCAGTGGGTCTGTGGGGATTCCCATGCACTGTGCACTCAGCTCTCACTGGACACAAGTGGCATGCGGGGGCTCCTTCTTGCTAGTGATGTGGCCTCCTGGAAAGTCTGTAGAATATTCATCCATGCTGTGGGTAGTAGAAACTACACTTAAGGGGACACTGCTACATTTGCTGATTAACAGGGTGCCATGTGCCGCTCTGAAACCACAACTTTTCCATTTCAAGAGATTTCCTCATTCGGGCGAGACATACACTGATCCACAGCCTCTCCCGGACGTTGAGAGGAACAAGGAGACGAAAAATCTTCCCTGGATCAAAACCTAACCTTCCAACTCCTAAAGAAGGTGTTGAAAGAGCAAGAAAAACAAAATGGGGAGGAGGCCCCAGGGGTGGGGTACGGGTGGGGGTGGAGGTGAGTGGAATTCTACTCTCCTGGAGGGCTTTTAACAAAAGTTAAATCCTCCGAAAAATTAACAAAAGAGAACCTGTCCAAAGGGCATGTAGAATTCTGGTTAAAACAAGGAGATTTGAGAATCGCCATAATCGTCATATTTCAAAGACCCACCCCCACCACCCACACACACCCAGCTATTAAGTAAAGCAAGACATCGTGTTTTTTCCTCTCTCATGCTTATTGGATGCTTATGGGTTCACAGCAAACTTTGCTGCTTGGTTTCTAAAGCATGCAGAGGTCAAACTGAGAGCAGCGTTTGGCGCCCAGTCCATGCCAGCCCTGACAGGTGACCGGCCAGACACCATCAGGATCGGGGTGAGCACGCCCCCTGGCGGCGAGGCGGCGCCCGCACAGCCAGGCCCCAGAGACAGATGGTGAGCACGTGTCCAGGCGGTTGGGGGAGTGACGGGACAAGCGAGGGGCACCCATCGGCCACCTCCTGAGTCCTCTCACATCCCGTCCCCACCCCAGACCGGAGGCCACAGCTGGGCACAGAGCTAAGGCACTAACGTACCAGGTGGACAGTCACCAGCCAGGTCGGACGGCTGCCACCCCTGGGCGGGAGAGGCGCTGCTGCTCGGAGCGCTGCCTTAGGATATAATTCAGATCTTTTCAAAGATTGAGAAGGTAAAGTAAGTACATCCCTGTTTTTGCCCCTTAGGAGAATATCTGGCTCTCCCGTCTGAGAAATGTGCTGCAGTTTTCGAATCTCTGTAGCAGGGCCGGGAGCTCCACCCGGGGACCTTTGGGCAACCAGTCGCTCCTGGGGGAAGCTGCTTTGTTTTCTCCCAGCACGTCTCTCCGAGTTGCCTCTCTTCCTCCCTTTTGGCTTGACAGCAATTGAGACACATCTCCTTCCCCTGGGGCAGGACCCCCGCGTGCTTCTTCGGAGGCATCTCTGCGAACGGCCCTGGGTCACAGCTTGATGAAGGTGGCCGGCTGGGGGGGCTGCTGCTCCGCGTCCGGGGGCGGGAAGACGCTGGCAATGGCTATGTCCACGATGCCCTGGCATAGCTCTGCATAAAGCTTCCTGAAATAGGTTCGGAGATCTATTATTGAGGATGCACATCAAAGTGCAGGTGAGAAAATGAAAGGTGTTTTTTGTTTGTTTGTTTTGTTTTTTTAAATCAGGATTGTTTAGTTGCTAGGTCCTATCCAACTCTCTTGCAACTCCATGGACTATAGCCAGCCAGACACCTCTGTCCATGGGATTTCCCAGGCAAGAATACTGGAGTGGGTTGCCATTTCCTTCTCCAGGGGAATCTTCCTGACCCAGGGATTAAACCTGAGTCTCTGGTGTCTCCTGCATTGGCAGGTGGATTCTTTACCACTGCAACACCTGGGAACTCTTTTACCAGGATCTGCCCCAAAATTCCACCTGGTATTTATAAGACACGTGTCAGCTGTCCATACAAATACTGCAGGAAGTACTACTGCATGAAGATAAAGCATCCACTCAATGCATATTTCTGGAAGGTCTTGCGGGTGAACAGACAAGGCAATGCCTGCTCTAACTAACTGCAGGGAAGACAGGCAATTCCAAAGAGAGCCTTTAAGGAAGACTCCTCAGAGTAGCAGCTCAGCTGAGACCTGGAGAACGAGTGACATCGGACAGAGAATGGATGACAGGGCAGAAAAGAGGAGGAAGAAGAGGGGAGTCAGAGAAGGAGGGTGGTAAGATCATCAGTACCATTTTTCTAGAGGCCACATATATGTGTTAATATACAATATTTCTATTTCTGACTGACTTCATTCTGTATGACATTCTCTAGTTTCATCCATGTCTCTACAAATGATAAAATTCTGTTCCTTTTTAGGGCCGAGTAATATTCCACTGTATACACACACCACACCTTCTTTGTCTTGTCCTCTCATTTGCAAAGCAGAAATAGAGACACAGATGTAGAAATAAATGTATGGACATCAAAGTGGGAAGGGAGGGGTGGGATGAACTGAGAGATTGGGATTGATACATATATACTATGCATTAATATAAAATAGATAACTAATGAGAACCTACTGCATAGCACACGGAACTCTACTCAATGCTCTGTGGTGAGCTAAATGGGAAGGAAATCTAAAAAAGAGGGCATATATATATATAAATATAGTTGATTCGTGGACTTCCCTGGTGGCTCAGATGGTAAAGAATCTGCCTGCAATGCAGGAGACCCAGGTTCAATCCCTGGGTCGGGAAGATTCCCTTAGAGAAGGGAACGGCTACCCACTCCAGTATTCTTGCCTGAAGAATCCCATGGACAAAGGAGCCTGGTGGACTACAGTCCATGCGATCACAAAGAGTCGGACAGGACCAAGTGACAAAACTTCCATAGCTGATTCACTTTGTTGTAAAGCAACTATACTCCAATAAAAATTAAAGATAATAATTAAAAAGAACAAGGGTGAGATACAGAGACAAAGGAGGGGAGGGAGAAAGAGAGAGGAGGGGCCATGCAAATAGTGGGAGGGGCACCCACCAAGGAGAGCGAACTCAGGAAATCTGGGAAAGGGGACCATCGCAGTGTGGGGCAGGGGACAAGGCGGGGCCTGATGCCACGTGCTGGCACCCGGACTTCAGCCAGAGGCCAAGGAACCACCAAATCCAAAGAGGAAAACCTCCCATCCAGAGCTATAAGGAGGCCCTCAAACTCCACACTCCCTTGTTCCCTACAGGATTGTTGTATGAGGCCCCAGGGCGAGTTCTTTTAGGACTGGCTCCAACACAGGGAAGGCTTCCCAGGTGGCATTAGTGGTAAAGAGCCTACCTGCCAATGTAGGAGATGTGAGATATTCAGGTTTGATTCCTGGGTCAGGAAGATCTCCTGGAAGAGGACATGGCAACCCACTCCAGTATTCTTGCCTGGAGAATCCCACGGACAGAGGAGCCCGGTGGGCTACAGTCCATGGGGTTGCAAAGAGTTGGACATGACCGACGCGACTTAGCACACACTTATGTCAACGAAGCGAAAAAGCAGAGACATATGGTTCAAAGAGAAAACCCTCATCTGAGATGATGCTCTGGGCCAGATGTGCCTATTTGCTATGTGCCTAACTTGCTCAGGACACTGCTGGGATACAGGTGGCAGGAGTCTAGGCCAGCCCAACCTGGAGGAACAGAGGTCTTCACTGTCCTGACTTCCAGAAGATGCTATTTCCCAATCTCCACCAGGTGGGAAATTTTCACAACCTAATTCCCGTCCCTCCTGATCCAGTGGCAAATCTCTGCTATTATCCTCATCATAGAAACTTTCTCCCACCCCTCATCCCCTTCTACTTCCCTTGAGGCTGGAATTGCTATGTCCTAACCTTTTGTAAGGCCCTCTGGGAAGGGAGCTCATGCAAAGCCATGCTTCTGTTGTCTGTCTTGGTAGGCCCTAACTGCCGGCTGACCTTCGTTTCTCCTGTGAGATGTCTGCCCTTTCCTATCTCCCTTCCCCCCAACCCCCAGCCTGCTTCTTCTGTCTACATGGATCAAGCCCCATGGTCAAGGCTACACCACTCAACCTTCCCCTTCTGAAGGGACAATGATCAGGAGGCCCGCACGGGAGGGATGGTAGCTTGGGTCTTGGTAGCCCTGGGTCTTGGCAAGTCACTAAGAGCCAAAACCATTGAAATAGACAGTGTTTGGTGTTCCATGAAGGGTGTCATTAGCCACCTTGGGGAAGATTTTCTGAAGGGGATGCTGGGGGCGGGGAGGGGGAGAAACACAGCTTCAACCTCGTCAAGTCAACTCACAACTTCGGTATTTCTGGCATAGGAGGTGCCCAATATACAAGCAAGTATGGGTCTTTGAACATCCTGCTATGTTCACACAGCAAGACAAGTAAGTCCTGTTTTAACACCTGCACAACAATGGAAACCGTGCTTCCTGAATAAAAACTTTCCTTTGACTACGCCAGCGTATCATCATCTCTATCAATTCTCTTCCCCATTTGTCCTTTAGGAAGCAAGGATAAAGGCATTTGAAAGTTTATTTCCTTCAAAGACTATTTATTTCCTGGTGGCCCAGTGGTTAAGACTTCACGTTCCAATGCAGAGGGCACAGGTTTGATCCTTGGCCAAGGAACCAAGATCCTCCATGCCTCGAGGCATGGTCAAAAAAAAAAAAAATCAGGAAAAATCATACATCATTGTTGTATTAAAAAAAAATGTTTACTTCCTTCTGCATAAGAACAGGATCCATCCACCTCATGGTGTGGCCTGGGTCCCTTGGGGCTTTCCAAGCCACCCACAGTAACCCCCCATTCCAAGAGCTCTCCCTACTCAAAATTATGCACCTTAAAGATAGAAGAGCTTCCCTTGTGGCTCGGTGGTATAGAATCCACCTTCAATGCATACGACCTGGGTTTGATTGCTGGGTCAGGAAGATTCCCCTGGAGAAGTGGTTGGCTATCCACTCTAGTATTCTTCCCTGGAGAATCCCATGGACAGAGGAGCCTGGCGGGCTACATACATGGGGTTGCAGAGTCAGATACGACTGAGTAACTAACACTTTTACTTCACTTCTTCTAGAAGATAGAATCTGTTTCTTTTCTATAACAGCAACTGTAACTCAAAATAATTCATACAATAATTAACTGGGCAGTGTCTGGCTCCCTCCTCCAGTGGACTCTTTAAGGATGCTCATTTTTACATGTTTCTCAAAACCCCGCTCTTCTGCTAGACCCCACTGCTCTCATCAGGACTCTGAGCAAAGGGGATCCAGCACATAGGGAGTAGCTTTGAGGGGTTAGTGAGATGGAGCCCAGAGGAAAACAGCGAACCCTGATGCCCAGTGGCTTATCACTAGAGGCCTCTGTCAGGCTCCAGCATGACCAGACCCTGCAGAGCATCTCAGCAAGCAGGTGAGCCTTCGCCAGTGTGTGGATGCCACTGATGGGAAAAGAGGTCAAGGATATTACTCATCACTCCAAATGAACTGAGAAATTGCTGTTTCTCTGCCCTCCCTAGCCTTCAATCCTTACATGAATAAAAGAGGCAGATCCACCTTTTCCTATCCAGAGACTAGAGGTCAACCCTTGAGCCAAAGCTGGAGGCAGAATTGACCAGGCCTGATGGACAGAACCTTAGGGGTCATGGAAACGGGGAGGCTGGGTCTTAGTCGGGTTTCTGGCTCAGGACCCCAAAAGAGGGGAGCTGGAAATTCACTGAGATGGGCAGCTCTGGGGTGGGATGCTGACTGGACATCCACACAGCTCCTCGCAGGATGCTGGGAAGACAGGTGCAGATACTGGCCTGGGACTCAGGGATGCAATGTAATTGGCTGGCTTTAAAATCCAGGAGTGCAAGATGGACTTGGACTCGGCTGGAGACCTGGAAAGAGCAGTTTCTGTGAGGGTGGATGGAATTCAGCCTGGAGCAGACCACAGTGTGGATGGGGACTGAGGAAGAGGAGATAGTATGTGCAGATGTGCCTTCTCCAGATTTGTGGCTGTGGGCATTTCCCTAGTAGTCTAGGGTTTAAGACTGTGCTTCCAGTGCAAGGGGTGCAGGTTCGATCCTGAGTCGGGAAACTAATAAGATCCCACATGCTATGCAGAGTGGCCAAAAAAATAAGGAAGTGTGGTTGTGAAGGGAGCAGGGAGGGAGTGGTCAGGGGAGCAGGACAGGGCATCAGAGGAGGGCTTTTGACCTCACTGCACAGCAGGTATGTCGGATCTTAGTTCCCTGACCAGGGACTGAGCTTGTGCCCTCTGTATAAGAGGCATGGAGTCTTAATCACTGGACCGCCAGAGAAGTCCAGGAGGGCTCTTTGTAATCACTGGGGAAATCTGCTGGGTACCACATGCTGGTGGGAAGTATGCAGCAAAGAGGGAGAAGGTAGCTGAGCACAGCATCCTCATCCTGCCCTCCTGCCTAGAGGGAGGGGACTGCGCCAGAGCACAAGGAGGGATGTAACGCCTACAGGAAGGACAGGAGAAGGTGGGCACCCCTAAGGACGTGATGGAGGGAGGATGTGAAACGTTCCATACCCCTCTACCCCAGCCTCCTTCACTCTCCTCCTCCTTCAGATCTCAGTCCCAAGCATCACCTCCCAAAGGGACCCTTGTGCTCAATTTTATTATCTTCCAACATCTTTCACTCTATGACAGCATGTGTCCCAGTCTGTCATCTATATTTGTCTTGTCCTTGGTCCTTCCCAGTCTCTCTCTACAAAGGGTTGGGACTAGGTCTCTCGGTACAAAGGATGAAACCCAGAGCCCAGTCCGGAGCCTGGCAGGTGACAGGGACCTAACAAATACCGTTAGCTGCAGGCACGGATGAAGCTGCAACCTTTGAGGATGAAGTGCAAATGACTCCCTTACATGAAAGGTTTCCCACAGGTAGACCCCAACTCACCTATACCCTCACCTTTCCTTACCCCACAACATTCATGCCATGCTGCAGCCAGACTCCTCTCAGGAGGACTGGGAGCTCCCTGAGGGCAGGGTCTGTTCTCTGCACATCTCCCCTAGAGCCTGGCCCAGAGCAAGGTGCAGCTGGAGGCTGGGTCCCTTTCCCCTTGGCACAGGTGACTCTCTCCTCTTCCAGCTCAGCTTCAGCTCCACCATGTCCACGGCACCTTCTCAGACCACCTCCTGTCCAGGGAGCCCCTGAAATGTTTGTTCATCACTCTCTCCCCCACTCATGGGACCTGCTGACCCATCACCTTGCCACACAAGAGGGTCTCGGCTGCTACTACTGGCTTTATTTGGAACTTTCACAGCATCTACCACCCACCTCAGCACAGGCTAAATGCTCAGCTCATGTGGGAAGGAGATGGAAAAGGGAATGACCCGATAAGGCCCCCTGCTGGCCAGGGTCCAACCAAAGCACTACCATCACTGGTACATCCTCCTTGACATCATTCAAAGGGTCTCTGCTAGAACACCCAGTAATGGGCTTCTCAGGTGGTGCCAGTGGTAAAGAACCCATCTGCCAATGCAGGAGACACAAGAAACATGGGTTCGATTCCTGGTTTGGGAAGATCCCCTGAAGAATCCCATGGGCAGAGGAGCCTAGTGGGCTATAGTCCATGGGGTTACAAAGAGTTGGACATGCTGAAGGACTTAGCAAGCACACATGCACATTCTTGGACACCCCGGAAATGGGAGCTCACCCTGTGTCAAGACAGACTATCCCCGCTGTGGAACCAAATTCCCACTTGTTAAAATCCAGTGGTGGTAGTTCCATTTTTAGTTTTTAAAGGAACCTTCATACTGTCCTCCATACTGGCTGCAGTAATTTACATTCCAAACAATAATGCTACAGGATTCTCTTTCCTCCACACCCTCTCCAGCACTTATTGTTTATACATTTTTTGATGATGGCCATTCTAACCCGTGTGAGGTGATACCTCATTCAAAAAGACACAGCCATCCCAATGTTCACTGCACCACTATTTACAATAGCCAGGACATGGAAGCAACCTAGATGTCTATCGACAGATGAATGGATAAAGAAAAAGTGGTACATATACAGTGACTATATTACTCAGCCATAAAAAGGAATAAAATTGGGTCATTTGTAGAGACATGGATGGACCTAGAGTCTGTCATACAGAGTGAAGTCAGAAAGAGAAAAACAAATACCACATACTACTGTATATATGTAGAATCTTGAAAAATGGAACAGATGAATCTATTTGCAGGGTAGAAACAGAAATGCAGATGTGGACATGTGGGTATGTGGACAGAATGGGCATGTGGACACACGAAGGAAGGGGAGGGAGGGACAAACTGGAAGATTAGGACTGATACATACATACACTATCAAGTGTAAAGCAGCGAGCTAGAGGGAAGCTGCTATATAGCACAGTGAGCTCAGCTGGGTGCTCTGTGATGACCTAGAGGGTTGGGATCGGGGGGTGGGAGGGAGGCTCACGAGGGAGGGGATCTATTATACATGTAGCTGATGCACTTCGTTGTAGAGCAGAAACTAACACAACATTGTAAAGTAACTATACCCCAATAAAAATACACACCCACAAAAACCCCCCAGTGGTGTTGAGACTTACTGAGCACAGGCAGGGGCGCCGTTGACTTCGATGAGCCAGACCTTCAGCTCCTCGTCCACCATGAAGTCAAAGCCGAACAGCTGAAAGCTCTGATAAGGGAGGTGTTTGGTGCTGATGGCGGGCTCCACACTCATGAGGCAGCTCCTACAGGGCACAGGGAAGAGCTTGCTGAGGATGGGGTGGTCTGGGCAGCAAGACCAGGGCAGAGGTGCCTGGATGATTTTACATCCAATGTGCCGATGAAAACTGGCTTTGGCTTAATTCTCTTTTAAATGTATTACCAATAGATTATTCAAGGCGATGCAACTTATTTGTTAGAAAACTCTGCCATTTCCCTTGTTCTTAGAAGTAGTGGCTGCTTTCCCAGCAAGCGCTGAGTCATCACGGTCCCTTTAAATGTGGATTCCTCCAATGGGTGGGCTGCTACCACATTTGCTGATAATAAACAAAACACTTCTATATATTTTTGCCATATTAAAAAAATGGCCCACCATTTTGTGACACAGAATTTGCAAGGAGAAGGCTGATCTCATTTCTTTCACAAGCTCCAGTTCGCTGCTTTTAACTAAAAGCCTTATATGCTGAAACAAGATATTGAGATATGGGACTGTTATTAGGATCAACTACTGTTTGCAAAAATTAGAGGATTTTAGCGACAAGGAAAAGTTGAAAGTGAATCTTAGAAACCATGATGAAACAGTACATGAAGCCTGAGGTCATGCTGCCGAAGCCAGAATCTCAGATAAATTTTTTAACTTCTTTAAGCCAAGTGTTGACTTCATTGTCTGTGAAATTGGGGTAAAAATAACACATATTCCCAGTGCTGAGATGGTTCAATGATATAATTATCTAAGGAACTTGTCATACCTCCTGGAAGCTGGGAGGCATCTAATGAATGTTGTTATTAATGAAAAAGTATATTTTATTAATTTATCATTAATTTTGGATAATCATGAACCTATTACTTATGAATGAAAAAGAACTCTTATCTAGTACAACATCCCAGAAAGTCTATACCATTTCTATTTTATAAAACTCCTCCCTGATTTTTCCCTCAACTGGATGTTGGGGCAAAATATTTATCTTAGTAAACACAGTATGTCAGGATGACTCTAAGGATATCAGAGACAGCTGTCTTTCTACTCAGCTGTATACGTAGAAGAAAAAAGATGTGTCTTATAAGTAGGTTTTGGCTTATGACTTTAAAGAAGAACTGGGGCTTCTGTATTCTGCATTTTCTGTATTACATCTCTATGAGAGAATACCCTTGACTTCTGTAATTAAAATGCCTTTTACAATATTAAGAAAACATTTAAAATTTAATGGGTGCTCATGATAAAAAGTCTATTACATTAAAAAATTTTTCTTAAATAAAAAAACAATACTAAAGGATAAAGGATAAAGAGTGAAAGAAACATTACACTCCAACACTTATAGGAAAAACCAGAAGTCAGAACCAAATCAAAACAAAATATTTTTTATTTGTTAGGAGTTCAAGTTAATAAATCACTTTAGAAGAATTTTTTTCTTATACAGCTAATTATTTTTTAGCTGGAGTAGGAAGTCTGGGGCAAGTTAGCTGGGGGAAAAAAAAAGAACATAAGATCTAGGAGGAGCATTTATAGAACTTAAGTAGGAACGCTGTCTGAATGGCACAAGAATGAGAAGGAGGGGGATAGCAAATATCAAATATATCTTTTGCTGAAATAGGAATTCTTTCTTCAGTATATTTGATTTATCTGGTGTTCTAAGCATGTATAATCCCTGAAGAAATGGAACTCTGAGCCTTGTAATTATCCTGCTGGCCTCTATGTAAGAATGTTGTTATTTTTGTTGTTTAGTTGTTCAGTCGTGTCTGACTCTTTGTGACCCCATGGACTGTAGCCTGCCAGGTTCCTCTGTCCATGGGGATTCTCCAGGCAAGAATAATGGAGTGGGTTGCCATTTTCTTCTCCAGGGGATATTCCCAACCCAGGGATTAAACCCCATGTGTCTCCTGCGTTGGCAGCCAGATTCTTTACCATTGAGCCATCAGGGAAGCCCAGTATAAGAATACATTAAGGAAAAAGCTTCAGTCATCATGACAGGGTGGCAGCGACAACAGAATAGCGATCCCAGGAAGAGACTCTCGCATAAATGACCACCTGATTTGTTAACAGAAAGGGCCACCAAAACGTGATGGGGAAGGGACAGTCATATGTACAAGTGACCCTGAGTCAATAGGATATATTTCTAGAAAAACACAACACTTGACATAAAACAATTCAGAGAGATCACAGGTCTAAAACATGGGAGAAAACCCCAGAGGTCCATCAACCGCAGAAAGTGATAAACCATGGACCATTCACACAATGGAATATGACACAGACACAATATTGAAAAAATCAGAACACAAAGCAAGAATTACAGTATAATTCCACTTACATAAAGTTTAAGAATAAGCAAAAGGAATCTATGGTGATAAAAGTCCAAGAGTGGCTATCTCTGGCAGAGAGTATATATTTTGAGGGAGTTCAAGGGTATCTTTTAGGATGCTGTAAATGTTTTCTATCCTGATTTACATTATGATTAAATGAATGTATGCATAATTTAAAATTCACTAGATTTTTACCATATATGTACATTTCTCCAAATAATGTATTACTTAGCTTTGCTTGTTTTTCAATTTATATGAACAGGGCCAGTTTGTAATTTTTTGCTTGGCATTGTATTTGGGTAACTCTAGTGATAAAATCCTTCAGGAATAAGGAGAAACCAAGACATTCTAAGATGTTGGAAAATTAAGAGGACTTATCACCAGCAGAACTGCTCTAAAAGAAATGATGAAGTCTGAAGGGACATGAAACTTGGAATTTTAGGGCTGAAGCAAGAGCAAAGGAAACAGCAAATATCTGGGTAAATGTAAAAGAGTATTTCCCTCCTTTGTATTTAAAGTGGGTTTCTTGTAAACAGGATACAGTTTGGTCTCTTTTTTAATCCAACAAGGTAATCCGTTACATATTAGGTTTATGTATATCATAACCCCTGGAGTAACCATTAAAACAAACAAACAAAAATACAAAGAGATATATCCAAATACTCAACAGAACTCTAAAAAAAGTTCAGACAATTCAGAAGAAGGCAAGAAAGAAGGAAATGAAAAAAAAAAAAAAAGAAGGGACAAATGGACAATGAATGATAACATGGTAGATGTAAATTGCATCAAGCCAGCAATTACTTAAAATGTGAATGGTATAAACACGATTGAAAAACAGAGATGATACACTGGATTAAAAGCAAAACAAAACAAAATCCAATGATGTGTCTATCAGAAGCCCATTTTAATTATACAGTAGAGAGGAGGAATAAAGAGATGAAAAGATACATATTATTAATCGAAAGAAAGCTGGAGTGACTACGTTAATATCAGACAAAACAGACCTCAAAATAAGAAACACTACCAGAGACAGGAACTACTTAATGATAAAGAGGTCAATTCTTCCCAAAGAAATAACAGTTCTAAATGTATATGCACCTGACAATAGATCTTCAAAATACACAAAGCAAAAAACAAATAAAACTAAAAGGAGACATAGACAGATCCATAATTATACTTGGAGACTTCCAAAGTTTTACCTCTCAATAATGGACAGAACAAGTAGAATAGAAAATCAGTAAGAATACAAAAGACTTGAATGACACTACCAACTGCCTTCACCTAATGGGCATTTATAGAACAACCTGCTCAACTACAGCAGAATAAACATGGTTTTTAGTACATGTGGAACATTCACTAAGATGGACCGTATTAAGAAAAAATTTTAAATAAATACATAAGTAAAGATAGACCATATTCTGGACCATGAAACAAACTTTAACAAATTTAAAACCATACAAAATATGTTCTCTGACCATAATGAAATGAAAATTCCTTGAAAATCCCAAATATTTGGAAATTCAGCAAAAATTTCTAAATAACACACAAGTCAAAGATGAAGTCACAAGGGAAACCAGAGAGTATTTTAATAAAATGAAAACAAAAACATGACAGCAAAATCCATGGGATGCAGCTACGAGTTCTTATAGGAAAGCTGATGGCATTAAATGCTTATATTTTTAAGAAAACCAAATATTTCAAATCAGTGATCTGACCTTATACTTTAAGGAAACTAGAAAAAGAAGAGAAAAGCAAACCCCTCAAACGCAGAAGAATAAAAATAATAAAGAACACGAAGAAATTGAAAACAAAAACGACAGAGAAAGCTATATAGCCAAATGCTGACTTTTAAAAGAGATTAATAAAACTGATAAGCCTCTAACCAATCTGCCCAAGTGAAAGAGAGAAGATATAAATTACCAATATAAGGTAATCGAAGGATTAAGCATAAGGGTTTTAAAAAGCTTCATCACTACAGATCGTATAGATATTAAAAGGATAATAAAGGGATATAACAAATAATTTTTGTCCTTAAATTAGACAACTAAAATGGAACAATTCCTTGAAAGCCACAAACTCCCAAAGCTCCTTCAAGACACATTTAACCAAAAGAGATAAGATTAGGTTACCTTATTATATGTTTGATTTGTAGTAAGATACTACTTTCCAGGGTGATGTTCAAAGCACTTGTTAGGTACTGATTGAACGCCTCAAAGAACATTTCGTTCCCTTCTTCATACTTCCCATAGTTCTTTGAGTACTCCTTCTGAATGCAGTGATTGGTCAAGTGGCAGGTTTTATCTTGGAAATTATCCATATGATATGGTTCTGAAGCAGTCCGAAGGACACCCTCTCTATAGAGGTAGATATTAAACTGATGATCCACCAAGACCCAGCTTCTGCAAAGTAAAAAAAAACCACTATTTTATTCAAGTTATCCAAAGCTTCTCCATGTTCTATTTATCATCCCCACACCTTGACTATTCTGGGAGGAAACAGAGGAAGGAGGTAGTTTCTAAAATTATATGAGGTTACAAACTTCCCTGGTGATCCAGTGGTTAAGAATCCGCCTTGCAATGCAGGGGATGCAGGTTTTATCCCTGGTCGGGGAACTAAGATCTCACATGCCGTGGGGCAATGGAGCCTGCACACCACAACTACATAGAAGCCCGTGTGCTGCAAGGAAGACCCAATGCACCCAAAAATAAATAAATAAATATTAAATAAATAAATAAAATTATATGAGGCAAGCCATGACAATTAGCCAAAAGAGTGAATTATCACTGTAATGAGGCAAAGAAAACATTTCACCATAACTGACAAGGAGACTCTGGTCCATTCAAAAGATACAGTATTTTGAAGCGATCTGAGTGGGCCAGTTTTTACAGTTAATATGAAACCCCCAGTTGCCATGTTTGCTCTTTTAGTAATCTTAAGAAGACTGTTCCTACTGAAGCTGGTCTCACAACACAGGTGTTTGAGAAGCCGTAAGTCAAAGTTTAGGCATGAAGGTGACAGAGTCCTGGTTGGCTGATGACAGCAAGGTTCGGGGCAAGCTGGGGCCAGGGCTATTCAGCTTTTGAAAGCACCCACCACCTCTTTCTCCTTGCCAAGTCCTTTCTTGGAAACATAAAGTCCAAAACCCTAAGGTGTGTTCAAGAAACCCTTAAAAAGTGGGACTCAGATAACAGAGGGAGGACACAGCCTTTAGCAGGCTCATGTGATCTGCTGTGTCTGACTATGTATTCTGTGTAAATCTCTTTGCTTCTTTCATAAGCAAGCCCCACACACTGATGCCCTTCCTTTTGGATCCACTAGTCATCTCTAGTAAAAAGAATATTAAAGGGACTTTCCTGGTAGACCAGTGGTTTAGAATCCCGCCAGTGCAGGAACGTGGGTTCAATCCCTGGTCTGGGAAGATCTCACATGCCATGGGCAACTAAGCCCATGTGCTACAACTACTGAAGCCCAAAAGCCCTAGAGTCTTGTGCGCCACAACAAGAGAAGCCACTGTGATGAGAAGCCTGCGCACCACAACTAGAGAGTAGTCTGCACTCGCCACAAGTAGAGAAAGCCTGTGTGCAGCAACAAAGATCCAGTGCAGCCATAAATAAATAGTTTTTAAAAGAGAGAATACTAAAAGAAAAAGAGAGAGAGAAAATTCATCATCTTAGTAACATTTTATAGAAAGACAAGAGAAAGAATGAAAGAAAAACAGAAAATGAAGTATAGCAACTCAGTTCCATTCAGCCACTCAACTTGAAAGTGCTAGTCACTAAGTCGTATCCGACTCTGTGCGACCCCATGGACTGTACCCTGCCAAACTCCTCTGTCCATGGGATTTTCCAGGCAGGAATACTGGAGTGGGTTGCCATTCCCTTCTTCAGGGGATCTTCCCTACCCAGGGATCAATGCATTGCGGGCAGATTCTTTACTGTCCACGCCACCAGAGAAGCCCAACTTGGCTGACATTGAATGCAGCCCAATACTTTCTCACACTCCAGATAACACTGCTCATCACACACGATTGCATTTTTCCCAGATTTGAAAAACAAAAACTCCAGATGTGGATGCGTTACCGGATGTCAAACTTGCGATGACCGGGCTCCAGGAGCAGCGGGCGCTCCAGGTATTTCTGGATCACGTGCACCTGGCCTTGGTTGTCTATGAAATCCAACAGTTCTGTAGCATCTGAGGAGATGAGGATGCCTTCACCTAACAGGGCAAAAGCAAAGCAAGATCAGTTCAGCTCATCCCAGGAGAAAAAAGAAAAGCTCTCCGCAAAGCCAGAAGGGAAATGTTGGGAAAAAGCCGACAGGAGGCTGTTATTGGCCGGCTTACTTTTCTTCTCCATCCCTTCCCTCCTTCCATCTCTCACTCTCCTGTCTCCCTACAAAAACACCTGCATTATCCAACCCCACTCTCTATTTACATAGGATTGTAAACACCATCATGGCAGGCTCCGACCATGAAATTTCATTTTGACGGATATTCAAAATTTGAGCACTTTGAATACAGGCCACTACGCTTGGTCACCGGCTATCACAATAAGGGTTGTGTGTTGCTTATAACCAATAAACCCACTGGAAACACTATATTTTACAGAAACATCAGTAAGGTTATGGCATGAAGACAAATGTAATAGAACATTCTTGAAGCACTGTAATAGAAAACACTGGATACATTCAAAGTGTCCATCAACCGAGAGATAATCATACTGAGTAAAGTAAGTCAGACAGAGGAAGACAAATACCATAGGATACCACTAATATGTGAAATCTAAAACAAAAAAACGTACAAATGAACTTATTTACAAAACAGAAATAGAGTCACAGATGTAGAAAACAATCTTATGGTTACCAGGGGTGAAAGGGGATGGGGATAAACTGGGAGATTGGAATTTACATATACATACTCCTACCTATAAAACAGGTAACTAATAAGGACTTAACTGTATAGCACAGGGAACTCTACTCAATACTTGATAATGACCTATATGGGAAAATAATCTAAAAAGATTGCATATATGTATATGTATAACCGAATCAATTCTGCTATACCCCTGAAACTAACACAACATTGTAAATCAACTAGACTCCAATAAAAAGTGCCCCTCAACATTAAATAAACGATGCAATATTTTAAGAGCTTTGAGATATTTTACATACTATAAAATTCACCCTTTTAAAGTGTAAAATTCAATGGTCTTTAGTATATTCGAGGTTTGCAACCATTACTACAATCTAATTTTAGAATGTTTTCATCACTTCCCCCCAAACTTCATACCCATTAAGCAGTTATACCCATTCCTTCCTCACCCAAGCCTCTGATGACCACTAACCTACTTTCTATCTCCATAGATTTGCCGAATCTAGAGACTTCATATAAATGGAAATAGATAGTAAGAGGCCTTTTTTGGTTTAGCTTCTTCCATTAACATAGTTTTTTTCAAGCTTCATCCATGTTGCAGCATGTGTCAATATGCCTTTCCACCTTTCTATGACTAAATATTCCACTATGTGGATGGCTACACCACATTTGTTTCAATCGATCAATCAATGCACATTTGGATTGTATCCATGGTAGTCTGGCTTTTAAAAAAAACTTTTATTTTATACTGGAGTATAGTTGATTTTCAATGTGTTAGTTTCAGGGGTATAGCAGAATTGATTTGGTTATACATATACATATATCTTTGTTTGGGTCTTATAAAGGTGCTATGGAGACTTGTATCATAGTTTTTGTTTTCAAAAACTTTTGAAAAATGTTTCCATCTCTTTTGGAAATTAGCATCATTAGTCTTCTTTCTGACTAGACTGTGGGTCCATGAGCACAAGAGAACCATGTCTGTCTCATTTATCTCTATCTCCAAATGTTCATTACTTCTCTTATTCATCCATCCATCTATACATTCATTCATTTACTCAATATATATATTGATCCTCTGTTGATTGTCAGGTGCTATCCTGGTCCCAGGGACAATGCTGAGTACCAATGTGACATGGTCTGACTCTGCTCTAATAGGATCTCTGTCTGCTGTACTGTGTGAAGACTCGGGAGGATGGCTGAGAACAGGAGGACAGGGAGCAATGCTCCAGATGAAGGTGACTCAGATCCAAGATGGGCGATGGAGATGGTAAACAGTGGCTTACTCTGAATATAGTATAAAGTTACGCCAACTATACCCAGAATGCACTAGGTACTATGTGTCTGTTTAACAAGAATACAATTCATTTATTCAGCTATTCATTTCATTTTGTAATTCCCAAATAAAACAAATCCACACCACTAATCTCCTCAGCTCCTAAAGTGAAATGTCTTCTCTGTTTGGCATTAATTCTCTCTGTACCTCCCTCTGCTGCTGAGCATCACTCTCTGTCTTGTGTTGGTGAGGGTCCAGGGACCACCCAGGTGGGATCACCGCCATGACCTGTCTCCTTCTGCCCAAGGCCTGCCTCACTCCTTGTTCTCGTGCCAGTCAAGTCCATGACACAAGGACACAAGATGTCCTCACAGTGGCCACACTGACTCCATTCTCCATCCACAGGAGGAATCTGGAACGCTGTGGATGACTATTTCCTCTTCCAATTCCCCCGTTTACTATTGGAACAAAGCTAGGGGACAGTTCTGGAGGAGAGGTCACAGGAGGAGAGGGAGAATTAGGTGAGGCACTTGAAGATTCTAGGTGATGCCCTTCTGTCTCACAGTTGATGAAAAAGAAGGTGAGGTCCACTGGACCTGGGATAAAAATAAGTACCAATGTGTCAGGGAGAAGGATGAGGGAAGGGATAGTTAGGGAGTTTGGGATGGACATGTACACACTGCTGTATTTAAAATGGATAACTAACAAGGACCTACTATACGTCACAGGGAACTCGATTCAGTAATGTGGCAGCCTGGATGGGAGGGGAGTTAGGGGGAGAATGGATACATGTGTATGTATTGCTGAGTCCCTTAGCTGTTTATCTAAACTATAAAATCACAACACTGTTAATCAGCTATACTCCAATACAAAATAAAAAGTTTTTTTTAAAAAAGAGATAATTACCAAAATGATGGTAATAGGTGTTTTAATTTGTAATAGGGGAATAATAGTATCTGTACATTCTAACTTCCTGTAATGAACCCATACTGTTTATAAGATCAAAAGTGAGGTTAGAAATAATAATGAAGTTGATTTTGACTCAAAAAAAAAAAAAATGAATACCAATGGCCAGATGGCCTTTCAAGGCAATCAGAGAAGCGTAAGTTCAAAATGGAATGGTTTTTAAGATAGCATATGATAGTAGTTATAGAGAGTGACCATGTCTATGTGATCGTTACATTGGCAACTGTCTTATTTTAAGCCTGAGTTATGACATACCTCATGCCTTTAGTGCATTCATTCTCACACATTTATTAAGTGCCTGTGGGCAAAGTACAGAGATGAAGAAAACAGAAAATCTGTGTTTACATGGAGCTTGCAGGATTATGGAGGAGATGAAGAGATAAATTAATAAGTACTAGAGTGCTGGAAAAGGTTAGTGCAGGGATGGAAAATTAAAACAGGGGAAAGAATAGAAAGCAATGGACATAGAGGCTATTTTAGATCAGAAAAGCCTCTCTGACAAGGCACCATCTGAGCTGAGAAATGAAAAACAGCCCATGGAAGTGCGTTCCAGGTACAGAGATGAATTTAGAGTATTTGAGGGACTCTAGGCAGGCTTCCTGGCTACAGTACAGGGAGCAAGGCCAAGAATAGGGGGTGAGATCAGAGATATGGGCGAATACCAAGTGGTGTCGACTTCCAGCAGGACTTGAGTTTATTCTAGTTGCCTTGGGGAGGCAGCTGGTAAGTCTTGAGTGGGGAGTAATATGATCATGTTTCCATTTTTAAAACATCATTGGGCCCAAGAGCTGCTGTGAAAAGGCATTGTAATTACCCAGGTTAGAGAGAACAGGAGCTTTGATGTCAAGGGAGAGCAGTGGAAATGGCAAGAAAAGTTCTATTCGAGACTATCTTAAAGGTAGAGTTAGCAAGACTTGCTGATGTATTAGAGATTGACTGTAAAGCAAAGAGCAGGCAAGAAGGACTCCCAGGTTTGGGGTCCAGAGGCTGGGTGAAAAGTGGGATCACGTACTCCATTAGCAGGCAGAAAGAGGAACAGGTTGGGGTGGGTATAGTTTGGAAGGAAACAAAAGGTTCTACATCAGACATATTAAGTTGAAAATGCTTACCGTTGGGTTTGGAGCTTAAAGAGAAAGCCCTCAGCTACAGACACTTTTGCTTATTTTATTTTACTTTATTTTTAGTATACAGTAAGTCCCCTACATACGAACCTTGAAGTTGCAAACTTTCAAAGATGAGAACGTGTGTTTGTATGTCAAAATCACGTAAGGTAGTTCATGTGTCTGGAGCACGCTGTCACGTGCTGCATCCTCTACAAGTGGTTGTGCATCTTGCCCTTCGTCTCCTATTGCTCATGACCCTTCAGCTCGACCATCTCCCACCTCCTCTCCCTCCTCCATCAGTAACTCTTCTTGCCTGTTCACTCAGTGCCAGCCCCGTGTGCCAGTTGTTGTACTGTACTACTGTACTTTTCATGGTACTGTAGTGTAAGATGAAAAATGTTTATTTTTTTAAATGTCTTATTTGTGTGAAAAGTATTATAAATCTATTACAGTATAGTACCATATGGCCGACTGTGTTAGTTGGGTACCTACGGGAAAATTCCCTGGAGAAGGGAATGGCTGCTCACTCCAGTATTCTTGCCTGGAGAATCCCATGGACAGAGGAGCCTGGTGGGCTACAGTCCATGAGGTTGCCAAAAGTCGGACACGACTGAGCTACTAGGCACATGCACAAACAAACTGGGCTTATGAATGTGCTCTCAGAATGGAACTAATCTGAACGTAGGACTTACTGTAAGTGATTTGGAGATACACATTTCTAGGTCATCAAAACCTAGTTATTTTAAATTGTGTAACTAGATGTGGTCTCTATTCTGGAGGATTCAGATTAGAATAGTCACTGATCTAAAGACACCATTTGAATCTAACAAAGCATATCAAGCACCCACAGGGAAGGGAGAAGGGGCAGTGATGCCAACTCACCTTTGGCTCCGGCTGACGACTTTGCGATCCAAACGTTGCCCTCTCCCTCCTCTTTCTTTCTGTTATATGAAGCCAGGAAAAATTCTCTCTCGTCCGTCCTTGAACTATGGAGCGGTGGATGGATTCCATTCTGAGCTGGAGCAACTGGGGTCTTCAGGTTGGTTGGATAAATCACGTAGGACTCGGGGAACCATGTGCAGGACTCAGCCAGTTCTGGGCTGGTTTTGATGAGCCTGGCAGATGATAGAAGGTCAGTCTCTCTTCTGAGGACACTCTCTCCCTCTATTCAGAAAAGCCAGTGCTTCGCCCCACAGCTCTCCAAGGAGGCATGGCCAGAGCCTGGAGCTGGTCTCCTTATACCACGCCTCACTCTTGGCCTCACTAGGCAGACCTCCAATGGACCACAGAGCAGCACACAGCTGTTACGCATGACCTTACAGGCACACTCCATGGAATTCCAAAGGGGCTTAATGTCCAGAACTTTAACTCCTCTTAAAATGCATCACTAAGGAAACTTAACTTGCAGTGATCCTGAACCAACATATTTCCAAGAAATACGCTGTAGCCAAGCTAGACCTGCACTAACAAACCCAAGTGGAGAATTGAGGAAACTACCTGGATTACTAGCAAAAATACTACCTTGGCCCAACTCTGGAGAGAAAAGCCTAATACTTTGGAATTTGAATTATCTAAAGACTTATTTTAGTCTTTTACTTCTTGCTTTTAGCTCAGCCTGGTTTCACTGGCAGAGTAAGAAGAATCTTTTTTTGGTGGGGGGAGGGGCAGCCCCATGTAGCTTGCAGGATCTTAGTTCCCAGACCAGGGATTGAACCTGTATCACTGGACTGCCAGGGAATTCCCAGGAAGAGTCTTTCTAATGGAATACAGGACTCTGGTGGTCATAACCAAACACATCTCCTGCCTCCCAAATAACATAATAAGGGGGATATAAAATCAGGCACTTAATAAACACAAGGGCTTCCCTAGGCATCTCCTTCCAAGTGAGATCCCTAGGGGCAGGCACCAGCATCACCTTTCGTGGATGAGGTACTGGGTCACAGAGAAGTGAATTTCCCAACATCATAAAGGTAGTGAGGAACAGGTAGGATGTAAGCTCTGAATCGTTCCCAAGTCCTAACTCTAGGTCCCCAGGAATCAGAGGAGGGAAGAACCTGGCCAAAGACACTCACAAGCGTCCCCCTGAGCTGCACTTCCTTGTCTCTCTAAAACAGAAATGGCAGAGCCTGGTCTGTAATCAGCAAAACTCAGCCTTCGGGCCAACAGCAGAAATAATGAAAAGAAACTATAAATTTAGATTTTTAAATAAAGCTCTTCCCTGATAGCTCAGTTAGTAAGGAATCCACCTGCAATGCAGGAGACCCTGGTTCAATTCCTGGATCGGGAAGATCCTCTGGAGAAGGGACAGGTTACCCGCTCCAGTATTCTTGGGCTTCCTTTGTGGCTCAGCTGGTAAAGAATCCGCCTGCAATGTGGGAGACTTGGGTTTGATCCCTAGGTTGGGAAGATCCCCTGGAGAAGGGAAAGGCTACCCACTCCAGTATTCTGGTCTGGAAAATTCCATGGACTATAGGGGTTGCAAAGAGTCAGACACGACTGAGTGACTTTCATTTTCACTTTAAGTCAGAGGCAATGGAATTTAACTTAAAGAACTCAAAATAACCAAAAAACAAAAACAAAAACATACAATTCTTCTCACAGATCATTTGGCTCTATCTGCACTGTCCAATATGGTGGCCATGAGCCACATGGAACTTTCAAGTGCTTCACAGCGCTTGAAAAGTGGCCAATTCAACTCAGGAACCCAATTTCCAATTGTGTCTAGTTTTAATTTAAAACTTGAAGCATTGTAAGATATGTTTCCATGAAGCACAACAGTACTGTTTTGGCAAGACGATGTTTCCCTTTAACCACTGGGTGACCTAAGATGCTGTTGTTGGAGGGTGGCCTGTGTGTCGGGGGCACACGCTGCTTCTAGTATTAAACATAAAACATAAAAGCATCACTGTTCTCTTTGTGGACAATAGATGGATTCATGCGAATTGTTTTCCAGGCACTGATGAAACATTATAACATGCTTATTATGCTCATAGCACAAGGTATGGTAATAGCTTTGTTGTTGTTGTTTACTCAGTAAGTTGTGTTCAGCTCCTTATGACCCCATGGACTGTGGCCCTTCAGGTTCCTCTATCCATGAAATTTCCCAGGCAAGAATACTGGAGTGCGTTGCCATTTCCTTCTTCAGGGGATTTTCCTGAACCAGGGATTGAACCTGTATTTCCTGCAGGTGATTCTTTACTACTAAGCCACCTGGGAAGCCCTAGTAATAGCTAGGTAATCATAATTGGTAAACAAGCATAATTTTTTTTAATTAAAAAAATGTGTATGGACAAGTTCTTTAATTTAAAACAAAGGTATACTACTGATTCAAAACTGAATGGAGATGCAGAAGCCAGAGCTATAACTATACAATAAAGGAAAAATAAGCACTAGAAGACATTCAAATGTGTGTCACAAATTTCACCATGGATGGCAATTAAAATCTGCTGTTGAAGGAAAAATGAAGTTTGTTGTATAAAGGGGACATTTTTAAGAAACATAAGGAATTTGGTAAGTGTTTACCTCTCAACAGTCAAAAAACAAACAATGAAATTAGTGGCTAAAATCAGAATTAAAAATTCAACAGAAAAAAACTTTAAACACATTTTTAATAGGATCTGGGTTTGTAACTTTGTTCAGCTATGAAATGGCTTGGATTCTTACATAAAAAAACAGTATCATTTTAGGTGGAAATGTAGTAAAAGAATTTTGAGGAAAGCCTAAAAAAATATTTTACAAAATAAATAAATTGTACAATGTCTTTGTACTGATTTTTAAAAGTAATTAATTAATTTATTTTGGGGGCTGTCTGGGCCTTCATTACTGCACAGGTTTTTCTTTTTTTCCATTTATTTTTATTAGTTGGAGGCCAATTACCCTACAACATTGCAGTGGTTTTTGTCATACATTGAAATGAATTAGCCATGGATTTACATGTATTCCTCATCCCGGTCCCCCCTCCCACCTCCCTCTCCACCTGATCCCTCTGGGTCTTCCCAGTGTACCAGGCCCGAGCACTTGTCTCATGCACCCAACCTGGGCTGGTGATCTGTTTCACCCTAGATATACATGTTTCATTGCTGTTCTCTTGAAACATCCCACCCTCGCCTTCTCCCACAGAGTCCACAAGTCTGTTCTATACATCTGAGTCTCTTTTTCTGTTTTGCACATAGGGTTATCGTTACCATCTTTCTAAATTCCATATATATGTGTTAGTATACTGTAATGGTCTTTATCTTTCTGGCTTACTTTGCTCTGTATAATGGGCTCCAGTTTCATCCATCTCATTAGAACTGATTCAAATGAATTCTTTTTAATGGCTGAGTAATATTCCATGGTGTATATGTCCCACAGCTTCCTCATCCATTCGTCTGCTGATGGGCATCTAGGTTGCTTCCATGTCCTGGCTATTATAAACAGTGCTGCGATGAACATTGGGGTGCACGTGTCTCTTTCAGATCTGGTTTCCTCAGTGTGTATGCCCAGAAGTGGTATTGCTGGGTCATATGGCAGTTCTATTTCCAGCTTTTTAAGGAGTGGAGGCCACTCTCTAGCTGTGGTGTGCAGGCTTCTCATTGTGGTAGCTTGTCTTGTTGCAGAGCCCGGCTACAGGGCCTGTGGGCTCAGTAGTTGAGGCTCCCAAGCTCTAGGGCACAGGCTCAGTAGCTGTAGTACATGGGCTTAGTTGTTCTGAGGCCCGTGGGATCTTACATCAGGGATGGAAACCGAGTCTCCTGCATTGGCAGGCAGATTCTTTACCACTGAGCCACCAGGGAAGCCTTCTTTGTACTCATTTTAATGGGGCTACCAGGCAATTTAAAGTGATACATGCAGCTAGCACTCTATTTACTTTATTTTAAATCTGCCAGCAACCTGGGTTCAACCCCTGGGTCAGGAAGATCCCCCAGAGAAGGGCATGGCAACCCACTCCAGTATCCTGCCTGGAGAATCCCATGGAGAGGAGCCTGGTGGGCTACAGTCCACAGAGCCGCAAAGAGTTGGACACGACTGAGTGACTAGCACTTTTACTTTCACTTTGAGCCATATAAATTATGGGACAAAGGGAATGACCGCAGTCCTTCACAGGACACCTGAGACAATGAAGGAAGCTTAGAGGATGACAACAACCCCCAGCCCGTGTAAGTCACATCACCATGTATAGGGTGCCATAACAGACCACATCACATGCCATGGGGAGGCAAAGAGCGGGCATGATCCCCGACATCCCCACAGATGGGACACAGGGATTCTGAGTGGCACTGTCCAAGGTCACAGAGATCCAGACACTTACTCAGATCTACTCATGCCTCTAGCTCTGAACTCTCTCCATCTTATCTTAGCTGCCAAGTATGCAAATATAGAGGACATTACTTTTCACAGTATCCTGTGCTTTTTACTTAAGAAAAAAAAAAATCCTACCTTTATCTTTAGGAAAAAAATCATAGAATGAACAAGCACTTTATCAAAATATCTAAATGAATAACCTCAATAAATAATCCCACTTCTACTCCCCGCTACAACTAAAGATCTTGCGTAATGCAACAAAGATCCCATGTCACAACTAAGATCTGATGCAGTCAAGTAAATAAACATTAAAAAACAAACAAATACATAAATATGTAAAAAGAAGACTTTATGAAGCTTTGTTCTCCTTTAGGAGTAGCTGATAAATCATGAAAATCCATCACAGGGAGACATGGATACATTAGTTACTGAGGGTAGTGAGTCTGAGCCAAAAGGTGGAAATATTCCTATCAACACAAGTCAGTAAATATCTAGAGCCCAGAAAGCAGTGTGATTGGGGAAAAGAGTATTTTCATTGAGTCTTGCCTTCTAGTGTCTTACCTAAGTGATGTGTTTGGCTACATACGCATTCACACCAGTCACCGTAGAGGCAATCCTGGAGACCTGATTTGAGGGGCCCCATCCCTCTTTCATTTATACAGTATGGACTCTGACCCTCGCATGAGTCCAAGACTTTACATAAATTAATTCAACTAATCCTTACAACAACCCCGAGGTAGTTGCTATTATTATCCTCATTTTACAGAAAAGGAAACTAAGGCATAGGGTCAAATGCTCACTCTGTGCCACTGTTACAGACATTATGTGCATTACAACCTCTTTGTGAAGGATGCACTGAGGCTTAGAGGGATCAGAAAATTTGCCCAAGCTGTTAAGAAGAGTTGAAATTAAAATCCAAGCTGCTGATCCTAGATCTTAATCACCGGATCAGGCTGCTCCCTTCCACCTTATGACACTGCTCTTTGTTTTGTTTTGTCACACCGCAAGGCATGTGAGATCTTAGTTCCCCGACCAGGGATGGAACTCATACTCCCTGCATTGAGGAGGAAATGGCAACCCACTCCAGTATTCTTGTCTGGAGAATTCCATGGACAGAGGAGCCTGGCGGGCTACAGTCCATGGAGTTGCAAAGAGGCAAACACTATTTAGCGACTCAACAACAACAACTCTTAGGTGAGGATCCCTTGAAGCAGAGCCTGAGACAGGGCTTCTCATGGCAGTGATTAATGAGGAGAGGGCTCGCAGGAGAAACTCATTGAGAACCAGGGAAGCCGGGGAAGCAGCCAAGAAAAGAGGTAGTTTCAGCTGAAATCTCAACTCGGCCTGATTCCATGGAAATTGGGAGCAAATGGTCCCTTGATGGTCTAGACTCTGATGTCGGTCAGCCACTGGCTATGGGAGGACGCACCATATGGGACTCCCATATGGGAGTGGTTGCCATTCCGGGGGGATATTCCCGACCCCGAGATCAAACCTGTGGATTAGCAGGCAGATTTTTTTTTTACCACTGAGCCACCAGGGAAGCCCCTCATGTAAGAGACAGACAGGCTTTACCAGACACATACAGCAAAGTTTGGATAACAATCAAAACTACTATTTGGGGACTTCCCTGGCAGTCCAGTGGTTAAGACTCCTAACTTCCAATGCAGGAGGCACAGGTTCAATCCCTCATCAGGGAACCAAGATTCGGGCAATGTGGCAACACACACACACACCAAAACTGACCTTTGATTGCTTTCTAAATGAAAGTATTTTCACCCTTAAAAGACAACTCCACATTCTGCTTAAATGCTTTAGGATGAAAGCTCACGTTTGGGTGACAATGGAAAACACTGGGTCTTAAAGAACACTTACTTCACCAAAGATGCTTTGCGACATAGTTTGTCGGCCCCTCTGTAGTAATTCACCAACTGCATCAGCCCAGGCTCATGACCTGTGAAGCAAAGAGGAGGTTCAGAAAGGAAACAGACCATTTCTCCGATGGAAAACAATGTCAGCACCCGCATACAGGACAGAGAGCAGCATGTCATGCTTAGCTCGTCTTTCCCCCATTATCAGACTGGGTGTTGGAAAGGGAGTGATTCTGTTGCCCTGCACCTCAATGCTCCTTTGCTCGGCTTTCGGCTGGCAATTCTCACCCTCCCCAGAGTGGAGATTATACCAGTATCAAAGGTCTGCCAAAGACTACTGCTGCCTTTGTTCCTAGTGTGAACCAGTAATTTCTATTTTGCTTCTCCTGGATCCCCACTGTACCCCACTCGTGGCTTAACACATGGATTTAATAATCTCTGGCATCGCCGACTCGATGGGCATGAGTTTGGGTAAACTCCGGGAGTTGGTGATGGACAGGGAGGCCTGGCGTGCTGCGATTCATGGGGTCGCAAAGAGTCGGACACGACTGAGTGACTGAACTGAACTGAACTGAACTGATACAGTAAAGACTTAAATGGTCAGACTTCTGATGTTGCTACCCTTGCTCTCTGCAGCCATCGAGGAAGGCAGTAGAACTAAGATCCTGCTGTTCTCAAGCATGTCTACCTCTGCAAGCTTCTAGGGGAGCCATTAGCTAGCTGAGGGGGGGATGGTGGAGAGGTCGTGTCTATAAATTCAGCAGCCCTGAGAATATTCTTCTGTGCATACTCCCACAGGGAAACTCATTTTTAGTAGGTTGCACTGCATGTCCCCCTCCTCTATAAAACTAAAGCAGAAGGATACAAATAAAAACAAAAGCCTCAATTAAAATTTTTTTTATTGAAGTAGTTGATTTACAATATTGTGTTAGTTTCAGATTTACAGCAGTGATTGAGTTATACATATATCTCTCTATATATATTTCAGATTCTTTCCCACTGTATTTAATAATCCCTTACAAGATATCAAATATAATTCCCTGTGCTATACAATAAATCCTTTTTTCATCTATTTGCTATATAGTAGTGTGAATTGGTTAATCTCATAGGCCTAATTTTCCCCGTCCCCTCCCTCCCCTCTGGTAACCGTAAGTTTCTTTTCTATGTCTGTGAGTCAGTTTCTGTTCTGTAAATAAATTCATTTGTACTATATTTTTTAGATTCCACATATATGTGATACATAATATTTGTCTTTCTCTGTGTGACTTATTTCACGCAGTATGATAATCTCTACAAAAGCCTCAATGTATATTTAACATCCTAACAAAATGCACTGAGTTTCCAGCCACACAAAAGTAGAATGAAACAAAGGGAGTTTGAATTGAAGATGCCAGAGGTAAGAATAATTCATCTGAGGACAGCATATAATCAAATAAGTTTCAGGTGCTAACTAGCTCTTATTATCTCCCTAAGACAGGTAGACTGATTCACACCTAAACCGCCCACTTTCTCATCTCCATGGCACCAGCATTCTTGGGCCTCTATCCGGCTGGGCCATCTCCTTGGGTTTTGGGTGTACAAAAGGTAAATATCCCTAACATTGAAGTCATATAACCACCTGGCTGTGGGATGCTGTTTTGCTTTTTTTTTTTTTTCTGCTTGTTTTTAAGAAGCTAACCTTTAAATTTTTTTACTGAAGTATAAGGTTTTTTTTTTTTTTTTGGCTGACATTCTTTTTAGAATTTCTTTTTTAAATTTTTATTTTATATTGGACTAGAGTTGAACTGGGGCTTCCCTGGTGGCTTAGTGGTAAAGAATCCACCTACAATGCAGGAGCTGCAGGTTCCATCCCTTGGTAGGGATGATCCCCTGCAGAGTGCATTGCAACCCAGTCCAGTATTCTTGCCTGGAGAATGTCATGGACAGAGGAGCCTGGTGGGCTATAGGGTTGCAGAGAGTTGGACACAACTGAAGAGACTTAGCGCCCATGCACACAGTTGTTATTTCTGGTTATATAGCAAAGTGATTCAGTTATACATATATAGAATAGTTTGCATCTGCTAATGTCAAACTCCCAATCAGGATGCTTGGGAGTTAATGTTATACAAGTTTCTGATGTATGATGGGGACTCCATCGAAGGACTGATTCCAACCCCCAGAAATCTTGGAATAAGAAAATGTGTCTGGAGATTGCCTCTTGTCTCCCCAGGAAGCCCTCAGCTTTCTCATACAAACCAAACGTTTACTGAGCAACTGTTGACTTCATGGTACCGGTGTAGGTTTTGGACCTTCTATAATTCTGCTTCTTCATCCTAGTGCTGAGCCCCACAGCAGTGCTGATGGCCCCTGCTTCCACCACTGCTGAGCCACTGTTTTTTTTTCTAATTTATTTATTTTTTTATTGAAGGATTGTTGTTAGTTTTTGATTTTAGGATTCCAACCTCAGCTCTTTCAGCCAGGCACCACCCAGTCCAAAGAAGAAAGTCTGTCAGGCAGGGAAGCAGAGAGAGTAAGGAGGAAATTTAACATTCTCAACTATAAGCAGGTCTTCTTCTTTCAGGGAAGGTATTCTTCTTGCTAAGGGCTTCCTGGGGAGACAGTTTAACAAAAGGCAATCTCCAGGCACATTCTCTGTATTCCAGAATTTCTGGGGGTTGGAATCAGCTCTTCCATGGAGTTCCCATCATACATTAGAAATTTGTGTAAGAATAAAAAGTTTTTCGTGGTCCCATTTTAATGAAATTTCAGTAAGGATAGGGTGAACCCCCTTCATTGCTCAAATCATTACAATTCTACAGGCCCCCACCCAACTGTGCTCTCTACGCAAGCTCACCAAGGGCTTATTGTTGTTGTTTGGTCACTAAGTTTTGTCTGATTCTTTGTGATCCCATGGACTGTAGTCCGCCAGGCTTCCCTGTCCATGGGATTCTCCAGGCAAGAATGCTGGAGGGGGTTGCCATTTCCTTCTCCAGGGGATCTTCTCCATCTTGGGATCGAACCCATGTCTCCTGAATTGGCAGGTGGATTCTTTACTGCTGAGCCACCAGGGGAGCCTTCAGCAAGGGCAAGTCAATTCCAGATGGCTATTTTCATTCTTTGCCTCTTGCATCTCTCCACCCTCTGACCACACCTATTTCTAAAAACGGTCTCCTCTACTGGAGGTAGGACACTGCCCTCTCTGGGACGCAATCCAAAGCAGAGATGACTTTTCCTCATTATTGATCCTCCCCTTCCATTCTTTGGTAATACGCTGGGGTCCCAAACCCAGGGGAATTTTGGCAGGGCGCACCGGCGACTTCGAGTGAGCCTGCAATTCCCGCATGACTGTGCAGTGAGGAGTGGCCGTGAGACTATGCTCAGGTCAATGGGATGTGAAAGGAAGTGATCCGCACAACTTCTGGATTACGTCATCTAAAAAGGAGCCGCTGGTCCTCTCCTTCCCCAGCCCCTTCCTACAGACGGATATGGAGATGTGGTGCTGCCTGCTGCAACCACGGGCACGAAGGGAACTCCCTCGGAGAGAGCAGGCAGAGAATCCAGTGTCACGAAAAATCTGCATTCAATACACAACTGTGGAAACGTGTTCTTTGGTGGTCTAAGGAAATGTCCAAAATCAGACACCCTGCCGCCCTTCGCCGGGCTGGGCTCACAGGTTTTGGAATTCAGAGGTCTTTTCCAAATCCCCTGACAGTTTATTTGAGTGTTCGGGGAGCTCAATCCTCAGAGCTTTCAACACACGCAAGCACCCGTCCCGAGCCCAAACAGGCAGGGAGGAATCCTCGGAGGAGGAACTATGCAAGAGGACTCCAGCCAGACATCCGTCCCCGGCTCGCGGAGCCTCGCGCCGCCCGGCGATCCGCCCAGCCGACCTGCCAGATTTGGGGATGTTGGGCCCTGGGGAATCCGGGGAACAAGCGGCCTCGGCTCCCCGCCCCCGGAGAGACCGACGCCGCCGGGGGGAGGGGGCTGCGGGGGCCGGTCATTGTCAGGAGGCAGCTGCCGTCCCGGGGGCCCGCACAGCCACTCCCGCCCCAAATTCGATCGAGGGCAAGAGAAGGCAAGAAAAACGCTGCGCTTGGCCCACTAGGGATGCAGTTTTCGATCCGACCGAGGAACGACGGAGGGGAAAAGGTTTCCGACCTTAAAACAAAAGCGCTCGTCCTACGGGGGAAGGGAGGGAGCAGGAGGGCGCAAAACGGGGACGCTCACCCAGTCTCCCGAAGGGCAGCCGGTTCCTTTCTCCCAGCATCAGGTTGAACCTGGGGTTGTCCCGCCGCAGCCGCTTCCAGTGGCCGGTGGCGAGCAGCAGCCGGGACACCTCGGCGTATACGCTGCTGTTCTCGTCGCGCACCACGAAGGTGTACATCGCGAAAGGCCGCGCGCCCGGGCCGCCCCGGCAGCCGCCGCAGGGACCAGCCGGCCGGGCGGCAGCTCAGCTACGGAGCATCCCGGGCTCCCGCCGCGCTCCCGCCCCGCACGCTCTGACCGCGCCCCCGCGCCCGCCCCCAGCGACTCCCGGGTCCCGAAGGCTGCCCGCGGTCGGGCGCCTGCGCGTCTGCTGTAGCCGCGAGCGCAACCGGGACGCTGCGCCCACCCCCGACGCGGTCCCGCCCATCCCTGGCGCGGCCACTCCCACCACCGGCGCGGCCCCGCCTCCGCCCCGTGATTCCGTGCGGCCGGCCCTCAGGCTGGCTACGCGGTGGAGGCTTGCGCCTATAGGCGCGCCCGGCACCCTCCCCGGGCCGACTCCCTGAGCTTGAGGGTGCGGGGGCTGGCTGGAGGAGGGAGAGCGCGGCGGCGGGAGCGGGCCCTGGAGAGGACCGGAAAGTGGGGCGGTCCTCCCGAGCCCTGGGTCACTGTCGAGGGGAGGGGACTGGGCGGTGTCGGAGGATCACTTTTCAGAGGGCTTGCTCTAGTAGCTTTCCACCTGCTATTTCAAGGGGACATTTTATGGATTAAAAACAAGTTCTAAGGCTTCATACTGTGTCTACGATGCTCTCCTTTTACTCTCCTGCTTAAAGACCGCAGAGAACCAGAAGCGTTCCGGTGGCTGCTGGTTTCCTTTGGGGCGAATGCTCCTTACACTTTCTGAGACCTCCTGGGTGGCTCACAGCCGGGAGTTGGAGGTGACTTTAGATTCCTTAGGTCACTGACATGGGGCTTCCCTGGTAGCTTAGTGGTGAAGAATCCACCTGCCAATTCAGGAGACACAAGAGACTGGGGTTCAGTTTCCGGGTGGGCAAGATCCTTTGGAGAGGGAGATGGCAATCCACTCCAGCAGGCTTGACTGGGAAATCCCATGGACAGAAGAGCTTCGCGATCTACAGTCCATAGGGTCGCAAAGAGAGGGTCACGATTGAGCGACTAATGTTGTTGGTCCCCTGCATACAGGCCCTGGGGAGCCCTGGATCTGCCCTGCGCTTATCAGCGATGGGTCACTCGTTTTCCCTTCTTCAGACCGATTTCTCCTTAGGAGTGAGGGGAGGGTGGTACTTTGAAGTCCGTTCAGTCCTGATTTCACTCTAAATTCCTTTTAGGAAACAGTTTTTGATGCATTTGAGGGACGGAGAGAGGATTTCTTGCAGAGGTTCCTAGACTTCCTTATAAATTACCCACATCAGCCAGGCCCCTCACATCTCTTACTCTTCTTCAGCGAAAGAGCATCCGGGACCTGCTGTCCCAGTGCTCACGGTATTTACTTAGCATCTTGTAAAAGCACTCTCCTCGTTCGTGTTTTTCCCTTATTCCCAGGGGCGAGTACTTAACTGTTTTGCGCACAAGCTTCCAGTTGGGCCACTACCTGGAGGCATCACTGGCAGTGAGAAGCTGGCTCAGCGGGGAAACAGGAGCAGGACCAGGAGGGCTGGGGTGATTATATTTCCTCACCCCCCCAAGTCCCACCCCCAGCATCCCTGAGGAATGAGAGTTGGTAGATAGTCCACCGGCTTCCTCACCCCTCCAGTGACTGAGTCTGAGGGGAGGCATACTTCCTACACCTTAATTCAAGGTCATCAGCAGAAGCACTCCAGTTGTCCACAGCTGTAACCTGTTCATTCATGCATCTTCTCTTGTTGGATTCCTTCCTTCTTCTGGTTTACTGTCCCATCTCTCTTGGGATCACTTATCAAATAAACTCCTTGCTCTCAATCCCTTTATCAGGTCCACCTTTTGGGGGAACTCAGGCGAAAACATTGTAACTGCTTCTCTTCACATCCAGTCATCTTAAATATTTATTTATTTGGCTGCGGCATGCAAGATCTTCAGTTGCCACATTCAAACCCTTAGTTCCTTGACCAGTGCTGGAACCCAGGGCCCCTGCATTGAAAGCATGGAGTCTTAGCCACTGGATCACCAGGGAAGTGCCATTCACAGCCAGTCATCTTGACAGTGACACCCACTTTCAGCCTTCTTCCTCACTCACTCCTCCTGCACCACCCACTCACCCCTGCAAGCTGGCTTCTCTCTCTACTGCTCCACAGCCATGAATTTCATTAGGACTCTGGCTGTCTAAATCCAGTCGTTTCTTTTCTATTTTCTTACCTACATTTTATAGTGAACATTATTATCTTGTTTGTTTTAGTTTTTGCACAGCATCCTTTATCTGTGACTCATTTTTATGCTTGGAACCCACTTTGTGTGATTCTGGTGGGATCAACACTGTACATTATGGGCATTGAAAATGAACATCCAGGCTTGGTCCAACAGGACAGCTCCATCCCTTTTGCCATTGTGATTGGTAAAACATAAAAGAGTAATCCAAATTTTCTACCTGAGCTATGGATAAAGATAAAGACTCTCTCCCCTTCTTTTCCTAACTACAGTTGCTTAGCTTGGAGATTGTGTGGGACACTAGTTGGGGGAAACCCTGTCTGAGAGTTGTTTCCCATCCTATGTGTTAGGCCTCGCCATGTAGGTATAGGAATATGGACTTGCCATATTATGTAAATGAAGTGCTATGCATTTCTTCCAAGTCTGGACCTTAGAATTTGGACAGACCTTCTCCTTCTCCTGGAAGCAGGATGCACAGTCAATCACAGTAGTGGAATGCAAAGTTGTAGGAAATTTATCAAAACCCCTTGAATGCTGGGTCATAAAGTAAGCCTCAACAAATTTCAAAGATTTGAATTGATTCTGAACAATTTCTGTGACTGTGGTGGAATCAAGCTGCTTGGAAATTAAGTAAAACCCTTCTAAATAGCCCACGAGTCAATGAAGAAATCACAATAGTATGCAAACATTTTTTCTATCTGAAGGTAATAAAGATGTGGTATATCAAAACTGGTAGAACACAGCTAAAGATGTCCTTAAATGTAAATTTATAGTCTATAGCTCATATGTTAGAAAAAGAAGAAAGACTGAAAATCAACAATCTAAACTTTTACCTCATGAGATTAAAAAAGAATATCAAATCAAACCCAAAGTAAGTGAAAGGAAAGAAGGAATAAAAGAGACCAAGGAAATAGAAAACAAATGTACAATAAAAAAGGTAAGTAAGCCAAAAGGAGGTTTAAAAAATTGTTTTAAGACAATTCAAATTGTTACACATTCAAACCAAACAAACAAAAATAAAAGGAAACACAAAGAACCAGTATTAAAATAAAAAAGTAGACATCCCTAGAAATCCTGAAGACATTAGAAAGAATAAGATACTAGAAATAATTTTTTTGCCAATTAATTTGACAATTTGGATAAAAGTAGACAAATTCCTTGAAAAACCCAGTTTACCAAAACTGACACATAACTACAAAATCTGAATAATCTTATATCTATTAGAAAGATTGATTCTAGAAAAGGGAAGAAGGGAGGGACATATGTATACACATGGCTAATTCATGTTGATGTATGGCAGAAACCAAGATAACACTGTAAAGCAATTATCCTCCAATGAGTAAAAAGGGAGCCATATGTCTAAATATTTTAAAGGTATAAACCAAGCCAATAAGTTGCTAAATAATGTGTCTATCCCTCTACCTTACAAATATACATTTGTGAGAATGACCTGGAAGGTCAGGATTTTTAGAATTCTCTGACTCAAAGGAGTTCCGTGCCAGACCCTGGTAATACCAGAAGAGATGACCCTGGCCCTGCCCACAGCCCACCTCCTTAACTCCATCCTGCACTGTGAAGAGTTTTGCATCATTCATGGGGACACAGTATCCAGGGAATTTAAGCTCCACCCACTCACCAAACACCTCCCACAACAGCTGGTCTTCTCCCACCCTGCAGGCCTAGAGGTGCCTACACCAGCCATGCCAATGACCCTTGGGAGCATGGACCCAGAGAAGAAGCCTGTGAGTGCCCAGGCCATGAGCTGGGCTGTTTGGACAGTGAATTCTGGTTCTCAGGTACCTAGACTAGTCTAGAAAGCAGGAAGATTATAGTCTTGGGGTGGCCATATCCCCTTGACCTCACAAATATCTCACATAGAGAAGGACTTGGCTAGAATGGGAGCCTCTAAAGAAGGACCTTTTTTTTTTTTAACTTTTTATTTTATATTGGTGTAGAGCCAATTAACAATGTTGTGACAAATTCACATGCACAGCAGAGCAACTCAGTCATGTATTTACAGATATCCATTCTCCCCCCAACTCCCTTCCCATCTAGCCCACCACATAACATTGAACAGAGTTCTCTAGGATACAGTAGGATGGACATTTTTTACACGGCCTAAGGTCAATGCTCTGAAGATGCAAGTTGCAAAATCCTCAACCACCCTTTCCTCTCTTTGCCCTTTGTGTCTCCTACTTGGACACCAAAGCAACTCAAAATTGTTTTACCTTCTACCATCTGTGACATCACCACAATCATTCCATGCTTCCGTTATTGCATGTGCCTCCTGGCTGTTGTTCTTGTTTTAGGTCCTTTACCGCCCCTCTTCCCTGAATATCATTACTGGGTTAATATTTCTAAAACACGACATTCATCATGTCTGTCCACCCATCAGAAACTGCAATGGATCATTGAAGCCAGCATCCTCAGTTTCAAGTTCATAGCCTTTCATTAAATCTTCCCATTGGAAGTTGCCTGCAGTGTCTCCCACACTCCTTCAGCCAGTTTCTAAAGTGCCCTGATCATCATCAAGGTCAAATGAAACTGTGTTTTAATGTTGAGTGTGTATTGAACCTGCCCAAATAGATGAACCAAATACCATATGAATCGTAAAGTCCTTATTAATCAAAATCTTTAATGAGCCAGCATTTTCTTTCTCATAATTATGCTAAGTAAAATAAGACTTACTATTTCTTTAGCTTGAGGTCTCAGTTGCTCCTAAGCATTTTGGGGATACCCTTCAATGGAGCCATTGACCCCTTCCCTGAGGAAGAATGCTCACAACATCCTTCTGCCCCCAGAGAACCTATATTGCTG